AAATTGAGTTTCAAATTTCAAAGTAATGAATGAAAGGACAGTGGCCTGGAAAACCAAATGAAAAAAAATATAAAATATATAGAAATAAAGGAAAAAGATGAAATTTGGAGGACATAAAAATATAACATGGGACATGAGAAATGAAATTTCAGGAGAAAAAGACTCAAGTGGGGGCAAGGAGAACTGATAAAGAATGGAAGGACATTTTCCTGTCTTAAGATAAATTATGTAGTTTCCAACAGACATTCTAAAGGCACAACCCACAGCTCATGTTGGTAAAATTCTTACATTTAAAGTATAGGAAGAAACTGCTTTGGAAAAAGAACAAGGTACAAAGAATAAAAATATGGTAGACAACTAGCAACCTACAGAGCACTTGAAATGTGGCAAGTACAAATTGAGATGTGCTGGATAAAATACACACTGAATTGCAAAGATTAAAACAATGTAAAATCTTTCAGTTTTAAAGTACTGTTGAAATATTTTGGGTGTACTCAGTTAATCAAAATACATTAATTATGCTAAATTAAAATAAGAGTGTGATAAGAATTTGTAATATTTGTTACTAGGTAAGGATTTTTGAAAAGGAAGGTATACTGTCAGGGGAAAGCTAACAGGAGCTTAGAATTAATTCTTCATTCTAATACATTATCTCCCTGCCTCCTCTTTAATTATCACTGGTTCTGTTCAGGTCCTGTTTAAGAGAACTATTTCCTAGCCCGAAGCCACACAGATTTTTTTCAACTTACGAAGTTCTGTTTGCATCTGAATTTCTACATTTTGATGTACAATCAATTTGGAATTGATTTTCCATTTCCAAGAGTTTCAGAATTAGTTTATCAAGTTATACAGGCTAATGAACTCAGAAGAAAAAGTCCTAAATAAATATTAGCCAACCACATCCAGCAATACATAAAGCAGTATTACATCATGACCAAGTTAGGTTTATTCCAGAAATGCAATTGCAGTTCATTTCAAAGTTAATCATCACTGAAATTTGTCACGCTGACATTTATGAAAGCTAAATGGGTTAACTAACAATTTTTCCTGTTTTATGAGAAATTCTAAGAGACATCCTAAAAAATAAAACAGAAAAAGAAAGTAGATACCCTCTATAAACTAAGAGTAGGGAAAACTTGCCTGACTATGGAGGGGCACCCAAACACAGAATATAGGAAAATATCTCAAAATCTGATTACATTAAAAAACCAAGTCTCTATGCATGGCTGAAAACAATGTTAAGCTAAGCAAAAATAAAAATGATAAAATGTGGGAAAATGTCCAACAATCAAAAAACAAAAACTTAAACATGAAAAGATGGTGCTCAACCTCACCCATAAATGATAGACTGAAATTTTAAATGACATAACATTTAAAATATCTATCATGGTGGCAAAAATACCTAAGTTTCCCAACATATTCCCTTGGCAAGGCTGTGGATAATAAGTAGGCACTCTCAAATACTGTTTGTAGAAATACTAAATGGTTCACCTCTTCTGGTCAAAAAGGGGAAGACACCTACAAAGGCTATTTGCTGCAGCACTATGTCTAATGGGAAAAGACTAGAAACAACCCAATTACCCATTACTAGTGGTCCAGTTAATAAACTTTGGTGGATCCACTTAAACCAAATGTGAAGGGTTCCCACTGGCTAAAAATTAGATAATTGAGCAAAGAGAATAGAACCTACCGTGGATTAAAATACATCCTATATGCTAAAACTCATGAATTTATAATGATACCAGAAAAATTGTCTTTGGCATATGCTAGGGATTCAGTGCATTATGCTGCATATTAATAACCATAAAGAAAACACTAAAAACCATAACCTTCCTTTTATAAAGTACATCTCAAAATGTCCTTTCTCTAGAAGTGTTCCTAATAAACAAAAACACTTAAAATATGAACTAATTTGGAAACATTGATAAAATAATGGATCTAGGGAATAACCATCAACAGCTGCTAACATCACAAAGGGGAAAGGAAATCAACCAATATGTGCCCTCTGGTAGGAGTACACAGCACCTCAAATGAAATATTCTTTCCACAAAAACTTCCAATGGAATCAGAACAAGCCTTTAGAGATAAATGCCATTTTACAGTAAATGCGGAATACAGAGATTCAAACACCACCACAGAAATACAATCAGAAAAACCCAGAGTGTGAAGAAAGACCTCTACATGACACACAACCTGATTTGTCAACAAAAGTTGACAGAAGTTGAAGAAGTTGAGAGCAACTTCATTCTACATCATCACTAATAAGGTAGTCACCTGTCACACTTGAAATTTGGCTGGTACAAACTGAGATGTGCTGTAAACAACAAAGTGTACACTGGATTTTGAAAGCTTAGTTTGAAAAAATAGTGAAAAACAATTTAAAAATGTAATAAATGAGTATTATTTTGGATATGTGAAACTAAGTTATTAACTATGTGGCTTGCAATTTATTTCTATTGGACAGCACTGCTTTGGGTTAAAACACAATTTGAGACAGAAAATCTGCCAAACAAAGTGTGATCTTATTTGGATCCCAATTCAAACCAACCAGCTGTTCAGAAATATTTATTAAACAATCAGGTGTATTTGAACACTTAGTATTTGTTGATATTAAGGAATTATCTCTTCAGGTGTGATGGTATTATGGCTGTATTTTAAAAGTCCTTGGAAATACAAGCTGAAGTATGGATAAAAATATGATGTATGTGCTTGCTGTAAAATAGCCAAGCTGGTCTTACCTGAGCCTGGTTCTCCCTCTGCCCTGCCTTTTATCTCCCCCAAGTACCCAAAGCAGGGTTCAGGATAACCAGATGAGGGCAGGAGCCCTGGCAGGAGCCGGTTGTCTGTCAGAAAGATCTAAATCCTACTCCCAGCTGAGTCACTGGGCAAGTGACTTCTTGTTTCCCAGTCTCCATTTTCTCATCTCTAATATGAGGATAATACCAATATCCCCTTATAGCCTGGTCATGAACATGTTATTAGAAAATGTAAAACACGCAGCTGTGAATAGACCCAGTAAGGATCAGTTAATACGGCTTTACAAAAAGTGAGTGCCAGAACTCAGAATGAGGGGAGGTTGGCAGGACGTTATCTCCTGTGTAAGGGCTTCCCCACTCCCATTTGCAAACCTTCCAGGAATCTATCCTGATGGTCACCTTCACAGTTTTGGCCATAAACAAGGACAAACTCTTCCATTTAATCAATCTTTTCCCTTAAGTCAATTCACGTTTTTACTTGATAGTTTAATGGGAAATTTGTAACAATACTCAAGTGAAAACCGGTCACCTGTCAGTTAAAAAGTAAGAAAGACCGTAACATGGAAATAATAAACCTAATCAATGTAAAGAAATACATACAGGAGCACGAGATCCCCAAATCAAAGGATGAACTCACTTAACATTAGTGATAGGGCAATCTTCTCCCAATATTGACTTATTTTAAAATGAAAAAAATCTTGTCTGGAAATTCGCACTGAAAACACTTTTCACTGATAGAGCCTAATATATATATATTTTTTTTGATTAACCGGAGAACTCAAGATATTTTCCTTACTAAAAATTTAGAAACAGTAAACTTTTAAAAACGTGACTAAAAGTAACAGAATTACATTAGTATCAGTAGTTTCGATGGTATTTTTAGTTAAAACATTATTTGCAGCCTTCGAAATTCTCCCTGCCTCACCAGGTTTCGGACAAGCAAAGGCTACCCTCATAACCTCAGGCACTTCCGCCCTCCACCTTCCACCCACTGCAGTCCCGCGCGGTTCCAGGAAGCCGCCGCGACGCACCGTCCCGCAGCGCGCCACCGCTCGCGGGCTCCTCTCCCACTACGCAGCTGCCCCTCAGGGAGAGGCAAGATTTCCCGCACCCTGCAAACAGTTATGAAAAATAGAGAGAGAAGCACGTTCGTTTGTCCTCGGGCCTCCAAGGGAAGAAAACTTCTGCGAACGCCATTCGGCTTGAGACAGCCCCGGACCAGCAGGACGCCGGGCAGTACTCTAGAAGATGCCCAGGGAATGGGAGGTGGGGGGTCCTAAGCTTGTGGCCTCCCAACCGTTTCTATAAAAAACCAGGGTAGGCGGGGACCCCGCGACTTGCCAAGCGTCACCCACACTACCATCGCCACTTTCGGTGAACCACGCGACACAGAGGCAGAGGGCGCAGTGCGAGCGCCGAGTCCAGAAGTTTCTTAGGTAGAGTCAAGAATCAGCAAACATATTCAAAGATAAAAAGTAAAAGACAAAAAGAAACGGCCGATTAACCAAGCTCGCTCAGAAGAAGTGTGGTCACCAGATAAAAACGAGAAACAAAGAGGTTCAAGCCAAAATGCAGACACAATACCTCTCTGGCCAGGAGACAAACGCAGACAGGGGCTTAGGGCACGCGCACGGCAGAAAGAGGAAGGAAGGGAGCAAAGACCGAAAGTATAGGCCCGGCGAGCGGGAACGTGGGAAGGGGAGGAGTCAATCCCAACCCTTCTACTTCAGCTCCCCTGGGCTTCCAGCCACGTGGAGAAACTACTTTCATTTTTAAATAAAGTTCCTCTTCGAGTGTCGCCCGGTGCCCTTACTCCTGGCAGGGGTGCTCAGGCTCTCTCCTTCCCTTTCTCGCTGCAGGACCTGCCTCCTCGGACCCCAAACCTCAGTTCTGAGGTCTATTATCCGAGTGTAAGGCCCTTGACCTCAGGCCCACCTCTTTCAAACCCCAATCTCCGCCCCGCCACCCTCACCCCCCGTGGACTCAGCCCGCGATGGACATATAGCTGTGCGGCCCTTGACCTCAGACCCCGTCTACTCCGTCCTCAAATCTCAGACCTTCGGTCCCCACCAGCAGGAGGCCCAATCCCTCCCTGACCGGCACCACGATAGGAGGCCATTGACCTCAGATGCTGTCTCCCCGGACCCCAAATCTCAGCCCTGCCACCCCCAACCCCAGGGGGCCCAGTCACCGGTCGGTCCCAGGTGTGCGGGCTTCCGACCTTAGGCCCGTCCCGCCCCTCACCTCGGGCTCCGAGTCTCCACACTCCTGCTCTACTTCACGCCCGGCACTTCAGAGGTCCCTTTGAGCACCTAGAGGGTGGAACGCGGGGATTGGCAGTTGTAGTAGAGGCAGTTGAGACTTGTTTACCATCACCATGGAAACCCCTAGAAGCGAGCCCTGGGCGTGTCTTCCAGTAGGTCTGAAGCACTGCAGGCCCGAGTCCCCAACTCGCGCCGGTAATGCGCACGCAGCCCTTCAAATGCTGCTACTCTCAGTGTGTTGGGCTCCTGCGCCACAGCACCCGGAAACAGCAGCCTCGGGAACCCGCATCCCACCCCGCTTCTGGCTGCCGGCGCAATCCTGGTCAGTTTCCCCATGGAACCCCACCTTTTCCAGAAGGACGCCAAGTAGTCCTGTTTCCACGACGGAACCGGAAGGTGCAGGCACCGCAGCCGGGCGGGACCTCCAACGGCGGACGTCCGGACACGGGACCACGAGGGCGCCATTATCTAGCTCCCAAAGCGTAGTCAGGGATTGGTCAATCGGGCGGAGGGCGGGCCTACAGAAGGGGCAGTTCGTGGAGAGGAGCTGCGAGCCGCAGAAAGATGGAACCAGGACTAGCGAGCTGCTGGCTAGTGCTATTGAGTCCCTGAAGGTACTGAGAGATTCCCGCCCCCGCCCCAAACCAGTGAGTCCAAAGGACGTGTGGGTTGAAGACCAGCCTGAGAAGGAAAATGAGAGCTGTTTTCCTGCAGAGGAAGAAAGGGAACTGAGAAACCGGGAACGCAGAAAGGCTACACGGATAACAGGATTTAGGGAAGAATAAAAGGTTGAGTGAGGTGGCTTTCGTGATTATCGCTTGGACTAAAAATCTCCAAAGCCTCTGAAGGTGACTCGGGGAATGCAGGGTTTTCAGTTAAGAGCACCTGAGCCGACGAGCTGGCTGGAAATGGCTAACTCTCCTGAGACAATGGAGCAGATTTTTCGTGTCATGTTCTAGAGTTAACAGTATTTTTATTTGTTTTTTAATTTTGCTGTATTGTTCCCATTATCATTTATCCCACTATACCTTCTGCCACCTCTACCCACCTGACCCCCTAAAGTTAATTCTTATGACTTAAAAAAAACCAAAAATAAGCTACTCATCACAAGCAGAAAATTTTTTTGATTTCTTAAAAATTTTAATTATATTTTATTGGTCATGCTAATACAGTTGTCCTGATTTTTCTCCCATTATCGCACTCCACCCAGCACCTCTCACTCCCTTAGGCAATATGCCCACCATTGCTTATGTCCATGGGTCATGCGTATAATTTCTTTGCCTACTTCATTTCTTATACTGTACTTTATATCCTTATGGCTATTTTATGACTACCTACTTGTACTTAAACACCTTGCCTCTTCACCCATTCCTCTACACCCTCCCATTTGGCAATCATCAAAACCCTCTCTATCTATGATTCTGTGTTTTTCTTGTTTGCTTTGTTTTTTTAGATTCAGTTGTTGAAAGATAAGTATTTATTGCCATTTTATTGTTCATAGTTTTGATCTCCTTTTTCTAAAATAAGTCCCTTTAACATTTCATGTAATAGTTTGGTGATGATGAATTCCTTTAATTTTGTCTCATCTGGAAAGCTCTTTATCTGCTCTTCCACTCTTAATGATGGCTTTGCTGGGTAGAACAATCTTGGCTGTAGGTCCCTGCTTTTCATGACTTTGAATGTTTCTTGCCAATCCGTTCTAGCCTGTAAGGTTTCTGTTGAGAAATCAGCTGATAGCCTTATGGGAACCCCCCTGTAGCTAACTAACTTCTTTTACTGCTTTTAAGATTCTCTCTTTAACCATTGGCGTTTTAATTATGATGTGTCTTGGAGTGGGTCTCTGCATCCACCTTGTTTGGTACTCTGTGCTTAGTGGACTTGCATGTCTGTTTCCTTCAACAAACTAGGGAAGTTTTCTTTCATTACTCTTGCAAGTAGATCTCCAATTTCCAGTTCTTTCTCTTCTCATTCTAGCCCTATGATATGAATGTTGTACTGCTTGAAGTCTTCCCAGAGGCTGCTTATACTATCCTCCTTTTTTTGGATTCTTTTTTATTTCTTGTTGTTCTGATTGGTTGGTTTTTTTTGTTCCTTATGTTCCAAGTCATTGATCTGATTCTTGGCTTCATCTACTCTACTGTTGTTTCCCTGTCAATTGTTCTTTATTTCAGTTAGGGTATCCTTAATTTATGACTGGGTCTTTTTTATGCTGCTGAGGTCCTCACTAAGCTCCTTGAGGATCCTCATGTCACAGGTGGGCACAGGTAACCAGGTTCTTAGTGATCACGGACAAAAAATTGAACCGAACACACAGAGTTTACAGCAGAAAGAGAGAGAAAGCAGATTTATTAAGCCACACAGAACATGGGAGCAGACCAACTCCGAGCAGAGCAGAGCTGGGCAGAGCTGAACAGAGCCTGAGAGAGAGAGAGAAAGCATGTGCGCGTGCATGCGCAAGAGTGAGCCTGACCTCACACGCTAGAGGGCTTTTATGCTTTTTGGGCAAGCTTTTACTGCGCATGTGGTCTCCCATGATTTCCTTGATTGGCCACTGGGAAGGAGGTCCCACAATACTAATTTATTATCATGAAGCAGGGTCAGGTAGCATCTTCTAGGCTGGTGCATTTCTGATTCACTAGGATTCAGTGCTTTTCCAGAAAGCAGGAACTTCCAGTCTTAGAACAGTGTCGCTGCCCTTTATTGATGTTCCTTATAGCCCTGGGACACCTCTAGAGTTTCCTCCTTCCTGACTATCTCCTGCCTCACTTATAAACAGTGTTTTGAACTCTGCATCTGACAGATTTCTTATTTCCATTCCATTGAGCTCTTTTTGGAGTTTTGATCTGTTCTTCCATTTCTGCCATGTTTGTCTCCTTGTTTTCACAGCCTCCCTGTGTTTGTTTCTAGGTATTAGGTAGAGGTGCTTTGACTCTGTGTCTTGATAGCATGGTGTAATGCAGTAGGTGTTCTATAGGGTCCAGTAGCACAGCCTCCCTTATCACCTAAGCTGGGTACTCGAGATGCAACCCTTCATGTGGGCTGAGTACACCCTCCTCTTGTAGTTGAGCCTTAGTTGCTGTTGGCAGGTCAATGGGAGGTATTTACCCAGGCCAATCAGATGCCTTGACTGGCTGTGACCACTGACCGCCTCCCTGCTCCCACTGTGAAGGATCAGCTGTGCAGGGGCAGGCAGAGTGGTAGTGCTATGAGGTGGTCTGGAGCTGCCAACTGGGCGTGCAGGCTGGGGTTTCCCAGCTGGTGCAGGGCAAGGTCAGCCCAAACCTATGGTTTGCCTTGGGGCACCCTGCCTTAGCTGTAAAGCAATCTGAGATGGCTGCTACTTGTGTTGTGCTTGGAGATTCCCAGGCAAAGCCAAGCTTATATCTAGGCTGGCTAATGCTAGTCCCTGGCCTGGGGCCACTTAGCTCTTGCTGGTTTGATAGGATTTAAAAAGTAGTGAAGCATGAGCCAAGACCAGCCATTCATATGGAAAATAAATATGGGTGGGCCCATAAGTTGGGTTGGGCGGAGTCTTGGCATCTCCAGGGCAGGGCAAACAATGTTAGCCAGGTTGATGGAATCTCAGAGATGGCACCAGCTTGCTGGCTTTCTGGGGGAAGGATTTAGAAAAGGGACAATGGCCCCTGCTCGCCTTTATTCCAGCCACTTCAGTTCCTTTCTGTATGTCACTGGTGCCTTTCAAGCTATTTCCTCACTGCTGGAGCTCAGAGGGAGTGAGTCTGTGTAGATGAGGCCACGTATGGGTTCTTTAAGTGGAACTGCTTGGGGCTCCAGCAGTTTTCCAGCGACTTAATCCCCATTGGTTTGCAGGCAGAAGTTGTAGGGACTTACTTTCCTGGCACTAGAACCCTGAGCTTGGGGGATGGAGGGTCTGGTGTGGGGCTGGGACTCCTTGCTCCTAAGATATCCCTCCTAAATTTTTATCCTTCACGTGGGAGTGTTGGACCAGCCCATTCCTTGTCTCCACCCCTCTTACCATTCTGGATGGATGTGGTTTCTTTAATTCGGTAGTTGTCAGACTTCCATTGAACTCAATTTCTGACGGTTCTGAGTGATGATTCTATATTTTAGTGGTAATTTTGATATGGTTGTGGGAGGAGGCAAGCCATATCTTCCTATGCTGCCATATGTACTGGAAGTGCTGGGTTTTTGTTTTTTTTAAATGTAAAAAATTTAATCAGTTACATTAAGGGAATGCTTAGAATAGTGTCCAATTATGATTAGACAGCAATAGTAGAGGAGCACAGATTGTCAAAAGAAGTTGTGTTTCCAAGAAAGAAAACATTGGAAGAGTAAAAGCAGGAGATGTCAGGGGAGGTTAAAATGTACAAGGAGACAATCAGAGGCAAAATTACAGAAACACGTCCCACAAAATCAGGTATTTTTAAAAAACTCCACTATGACTCCATCACAGCTGTAGAAAAGTCATTTTCTGGAGAGAAAATACAGGTACCAGTCTGAAGTAAATATTAAAATTATACCAAAAAAATAGTAATGCTTGCAAATTTAGGGACTGTGAAACCAGGTCCAAGAAAATATAATCATGCAGTTTATTAGGAGGGCCTCTGAGCCATGTGGGCTCTTCCATCCCATCAAGTTGGACACTTCATCATTCATTGATGATGCATAATCTTTATAGTCTTCTCTGAGTGAAAGTCTAGCCTGATTATGAACCTGTCCCTAGTCCTAAGGAGTTATCCCAGGTGTTCAGTATTATGTTCTTAATTTATTTTATTTATTATTTATATTGAGTTTATTGGGATGACATTGATTAATAAAATTATACAGGTTTCAAATATACAATTTTATATTACATCTGAATATTGTGTGTTCACCACCCCAAGCCAAGTCTCCTTTCATTACCACTTATCCCCACTTTACCCTCTTTTACCTCCCTGGCCCCTCTTTCCCTGTGGTAGTGACCGTACTATATGTTTCTATGAGGGTCTTTTTTTTTCTTAATTCTTTTACCTTTTTCACCCAGCCCCACACACCCCCTTTCCTCTCACAGCTGTGAGTCTGTTCTCTCAGAATCTGTTTCTCTTTTGTTATTTTGTTCATTAGATTCCACATATGCATGAAATCTTATGGTACTTGTCTTTCTCTGGCTTTTCGTTTAGCATAATGCTCTCCTAGTCCATGCATTGTGTTGCAAAGGGTAAGATCTTACTCTTTTTTATGGCCAAATAGTATTCCATTGTGTAAATGTTCCACAGCTTTTTTATCCACTCATCTAATGATGGACACTTGGGCTGCACTATGATGTTTTTCTAAAGGTGAGTGCCA